TTTTAGTTGTAAATTTTGGGTTTCTGCATGATAACCCCGAAAGGCTACATTTATTAAATCTGCACTACGGCTAAAAGATTATTCATTTGTTACAGAGTTTTGGATGTCTTCTGGTCTGAAGAATCTCCAGCAGCTCTGATGATAGCTTAAGAAGACTGCATGCTGTTCCCTTTCAATGCCAAGCCAGGCCCACTCGGAACCTCGGATCTCAGTCCTTCATGGAGACCAGGTCCCAGCAGGAATGGCAGTGGAGGAGATTGGCACCCAGCTGGTTCCTCCACATGAGATTGCCTCAGGCTATGGGCCGACTGGAGAACAGCTGGTAGCCAGGCCAGTCCTCTGTCAGTCACCCAGGGCAGAGCAGCATGGTGCGGGTTCAGAGGAGGAGGCTTTGGGCATCTTGCCTGTGCATCACAGCTATCATCTTCCTGCTTGTCACACTCCAGGTACCCAGAATTTTGGTTGTGTAGTGCTGATTCCTGGGCCTTTGCCACCACTCCTGCCCCACCCTCTTTTCTCCAAGTACTTTATGTTTTGCTTTATCTCTCAGGATCAGGGTTTTCTGTCTAAGACCCCTGGAAATACTTTCTTCTTTAATAGATGTAAGTGAGGTTTTAGTGAGTGGGTGTGTCAGGTAGAAGCAAATTCAGTGAGCTGGAGGTTCAGTTTGTGACTCTTGGAGGGTCCTGGTTTTAGAGGAAAGTAGAGCTCAGTTTGTCTTATGGGCCTAAAATTTGATGGATTCCACAAAGTACCCTATTGTAATCACTTTTGAAAGAAGGCATTCTTAAGGAAGCAGTGCTATCTTTGGATATTTATCTGTCTGTCTATCTATCTATCTATCTATCTATCTATCTATCTATCTATCTATCTACCTATCATCTATCTATCTCATTTTTTTAAACTTTACTTACTTTTTAATTGCACAGGCAATTCATTGATACATTTGGAGTATTTTAAAGCAAATCTAGGACATCATATCGTTTTACCTGGATTTAGTTAGTGTGATTCTCTAAAGATGGGAACTTTAAAAAATTTAGTATAACCGTATTATTATTGTCACACCCAACAAAATTAATGATAATTACTGAGTACCATCTATATCCTAGGCCATGTTAAATTTTTCTTGATTATCTCAAAAAAGTCTTTTAGAATGGATTGGATTGAATCTGGAATAGACAAATCTCACACATTGCATTTAGTTCGTGTGTCGCAAGTTTTGTGGGCTTTTTTTTTTTTTTACTACAAAAATTTATTTTGCCTTATCTTCATTCCATGTCATAGATTTGTTGGAGAAGCTCGGTCATTGTCCTTTTGAATTTCCCAGATTGTGGATTTGGCTGATTTTATCGTCATGGATTTCTATAATATGATCCTTTATCCCCCACATTTCCTACCACCTGGTAGTGGTATCTGAGGCTAAATGGTTTTTCTTTTTTCTTTTTAAAAAGCTGTTTAGCAGAAAACTCTGTCCTACAGCAATTCCTATTATTCGGAAATGAAGTTATGCCTCACATAGTAGACATTAATTAGAAATGTGGAGCAAAAGTTGTCTTTGAAGTTATATCCATGGCTTTCTAAAAGCCTTTCTTTTTTTTTTTAAGATTTTTTGGGGAATTGGGGGAGGGGAACAGACAAGTTGCTGTCATCTTATTCTTCAGTCTAGTTGTGGAGGACGTTGCTTCACTGGCCCATGTTGGTATTATCATTGCGCTCTTCCCGGCTGAGGCAACGGCCTCTGGACGGCCGCTCACGCTGGCTGCTGGCCGCTCACGCTGGCTGCTGGCTACACACGGTAGCCCATGGCAACCCACTGCCACAGGGGCTGCAGCCTACACCATCGCCTGTGACTCACGGCAGCCCAGCTCCAGGTCGAGGTGTTGTTCACCATCTTATGTGTAGAGGGCAGTGTCAATGTAAAAGCTTTTCTTTAAAGTTGTTGGTTGTACATTTGCAGGGAAGGTTGGGTGAAAGGATAGTGTTTGGCTACAAGTCAACTCCATTCCTTCAAGCTCCTGGGAGAAAAGCCACATTATTATGTTACCGTAAAAATGTTGAGGAAGCTATTAGCGAGGGTTCGTTAGACTTGAGTTTTCAGTGATTGTTTTACTGTTCTAATGCTGACTTTGGTGTCACAGGTGATCCATGATTTTTTAAAGCTAATATCATTCTTTATTCTTTTTGGAATACTACTTGATTTTCCCTCAGTGGTTAATATTTTTTTGGCCATTGGATCCCTCAGAGAATCCAGCATAAGTTAGGGACCATCCCCAGGGAGTTACAGGCTCTATATCACATTAGTGAGCAGTGGCCCTATTCTGACACCAGGGATAACAAGTATGTAAAGAAGGCACAGCCCTCCACTACTCAGAGAGGCCAACACCATTCATATCCCCTGTTGACTGGTGGAGGAGTTAATATTGGGTTGTCAGAAAAGTCATGACGCATTTTTGCAATGAAAAACATAGAAAAAATACATCATGACTTTTCCGACAACCCAATACATTAAAAATGAGCCTTCCTGTAACTGCTTTAATTGTTGTATAGTCTGACTATTGATGTTTCAGTTGTATATGAAACAGACCAGCCCCTTTTATACTGCTTCCTCTAACATATTTTTGTAATACCAGTTCAATATCAAACCTTAAAGTTTTGATATTGAACTGGTATTATAAACTGATTTGATATCAACTGGTTTATATCAAACCCAGACTATCCTGAAATAAATAAAAACTTGTTTTTACATAGGAAGGAGCCCAGTACTCATAGCCTGCTTCACCGTCTCGATTTCTTAGTGGGCATTATTAGAAATATAAGACTCATATTATGACTCCTTTAATTATAATAAAATAAAAAAAATAATTTGGTAATGTATAACTCATTTTCCCTAGAATGTAATTTCTATTAATAGCCAGGTAATAATCCTTGACTCCCACAGGTTTCATTAAGAGATGAAACTATTTCTGGATACTACATATGCATATGAAATGGAGGAGAAATGGAGCTCGTGTGTTTAGTAGAATTAGGCATCCTTGTTGGTAGGTATTTTGGTGGCGTGTCCCTGCTGTAATCCCTAAATGTGTTACCTTACATGGCTAAAGGGACTTTATAGGTGGGATTAAGGTGATAACACCCTGGGATGAGGAGATTATCCTGAATTATCCTTGTGAGCCCAGTGAGAACCTTGCCTGCCTGTGGTCTGATAAAGATGTGACGAAAGAAGAAAGGTCAGAGATGCAACATTGCTGACTTTGAAGATGGAGGAAGGGAGCCATGAGCCTTGTGAGAATTGTGGTTGGCTCTAGAAAACAGAAAAGCAAGGAAACGACCTCCGCCACCCCCACCCCGCTGCCCCCAGAGTTCCCAGAAAGGAACGCAGTCTTGCTGAAACCTTAACTTTAGCCTGGTGAGACCAGTTCTGACCTCCAGAACTATATGATAATAAATGTATATTGCTTTAAATTGCTAAGCTTGTGGTAATTTTTTGCAGCAGCAATAGAAACTTAATAAGAGGCTAAATCATCAAGATGAATGGGAAATGTGCAGGAGGAAATTAAACAGTCTGACTCTAGTAATAATTGTCTTTTCTTTTAGGTAGTGGTTGAGCTGGGAAAATTAGAAAAGAAGAAGTTTAAAAATTCCAATTTACGAGATGGACATGCAAGAATGGAGGAGGTGCCTGCACACCTCTATCCATTTCCTAAGAAAGAAGTAATGACCCTGAATAGGAAAGCCACATTGGACACGGATAAGTACCCCATTATGCTCTGGTGGTCGCCACTGACGGGGGAAAGTGGAAGGCTGGGCCAGTGCGGAGCAGATGCCTGCTTCTTCACCATCAACCGGACCTATGTGCGTCATCACATGACCAAAGCCTTCCTCTTCTATGGTGAGTAGGGCTTCTGCCTTTCTCTCTTTGTCTGCTGACATCCTTCTCTAAAGCTGAGTAATTGCTTACTTCCCGAGGAAGAGATGGTAGAGCTCCCCTTGAAAGCACTTTGGCATGTCTGATTTCCTTTGCCTTTGCTCTCTGGAAGTCCCGATCATTTAGCAAATATGATAAATACATGTAAATCAGCTTGTCCAACGTAGAGGTGGTTGGCAGGGCCACTTGGTATTAATGGAGGAGAAGACATATTTCTAATAACCTTTTCACAGTTGGGTCCTGTGCTCACTGAATTTGGTATTCAGGGAATTGGGTATTGATAATATTGCTGATACCAATTCAGAATGTCACGTGATCATTGCCAGGAGATTTGCATGACTATAACGGGTGTTTAATTGGGCATAAACTAGTTACAATGATCTTTTTTTCATTAGATTAATCAGAAATAAAAATAAAAAGATTGTTCAGCATCAGCTTGTAAGAGCAAATTGGTGTTCGTTACTTCTTTTTTTTTTTTAAGATTTTTTAATTGAATTGGGGGAGGGGAACAGCGCTGGGGGATCGGAGGAAGGGGAACAGACAAGTTGCTGTCCTTTTGTTCTTCAGTCTAGTTGTGGAGGACGTTGCTTCACTGGCCCAAGTTGGCACCATCATTGCGCTCTTCCCGGGTGAGGCAGGTCAGGCGCCGGCTTCTGGATGGCCACTCACAGCGGTTGCTGGCCGCTCAGGCTGGCTGCTGGCTACACACGGTAGCCCATGGCAACCCACTGCAGCAGGGTCGGTGGCAACTCAGCAGTCCAGCTCCAGGTTGAGCTGTTGTTCAGCATCTTAGCTGTAGAGGGCAGTGTCACTGGCCCTCATATGTGGGATCTGAACCAGGGCCCTCTGGCATCCCAAGCCAGCTCTTAACCATCGCGCCACTCGGCCGGCCCTAGATTGTTACTTCTTGATTTGTCAGTTTTAGACATTATATATGTAAGATAAGTATACACACACACTGTACACACACACGCGCATACTCATCTTACTGTGGAAAATGAGTATTTAACTGTCCTTCCTCACCTCTGCCCCCCCACATGCTTGATTTCTCATTCCCATATCCCTTCTAAAAAGTCATATTATTTAAGATAAATAGTCACTGTTTACATCAGTATGTAGTCACAGTGAAACAAGACTACTTGTAGTATACTAAGATTACCTTTCCTGCACAGTTTGTTGTTTTACCTGAGGCAGAATCAGATATTATTTTTTCCTTGTCATCAACATTTTTATTTGGTTTACTGCATGCTAGAATATAAATACATAACAATATGCCCTTTTTTATCACAGGTACTCTTCTGCATAACTAAAATCTATGGCCAACATTTTACAGAACAAAATGTTCTGTAAATTACCAGAAAAGGAGCAAGAATATAGGAAAATAATACATTTCATATAAATTAGAGAGGACAGTTACAATGAAAATCCATTATTTTCCTCTCTAACTCAATTTTACAAAATAAAGTTAACATGTATTATTCTGTGAACTGCTAAAAGGACATAAACACTGTGGCCCTTTCAAAAGACAGTGGTCATGACAGAATGTCATCTTGATGTCGTATATTGTTCTTAGTTCTTCACTGGAGTTGAGCTTCCTTTTGTCGTCTTCTTTAGGTGGTGGTAGTTTGGCAGGATTTTCATCAGGAATTCCAGCTGTAGTGTCTGGGGCTGTAGTAGCTCAGTCTGCACCCAACAAAGGCAGTCTACCCTATAGATTACTGTATTCTCAGGGATGACTTCAAATGTGTTTAAGTTGCAGCAAGCCCCAATGATGCAGCCTCTGGTCAATATTACATTTCTGCCTACGTATGTTTTTGATTCACTCCCAAGCCTATTTTCATGGCTTGGGAATAACAGCCAACTTCAAACACATTATTTGTGCCAATGATCATAGGTTTGGGTTTTGGATCTTCAGTGTCAGGGGTGGTATTATCAGGGTGAGCATTTAAGATAAGCGCCTGTTCTTCTATTAGGTTATCTTCACCAATCACTATTGGCCCAGCTTCCGCAATAATTCGTGCTTTATGGTGGGTCACTGTCCTAGGTCCTGTAGTTTCATCGCCTCTGATTTCACTTTCCACACACACAACTGCTCCAGGAGCAACAGCTTCACACTCTTTTGACTCTTCTCTGCCATGGTTTGGTCTCCGTCTCCAATTGGAGCCGAGATCGATACCTAGAATCAGATATTTTGAAAGAAATGTCTCCCAGAGATTCCTGACTAGCTCCAGTTGAGAATAGTCATCCTTTTTGTCTGGTGCACAGCTGCCATCCTGGCTCCCCATCATACTGGGGTTTCCCTCTGCCTCCCTCTTGTGTTCGATTTTCTGTTCCTTTAATGCCTTGTCTTCCTCTTTCTTGGTTTATGTCATTATTTCTATATGTTCTGAGAAAGGTTCAGGGAAGGCCAGTTTTTAGAGACTTTGTATTTGTGAAAATGTGTTCATTTTGCCATGACTTTCATTGATGGTTTGGCTCAGCACAGAATTCCAGGTTGGAAATTCTTTTCTTTCTGAATTTTAAAGATATTTACCCACTGTCTTTTAGCGTCCAGTGTTGCTGCTGAGGAATCCAAAGCTATTTTGATTTCCCATCCTTTGTGTATAGTGTACTTTTTTTTGTTCTCCTCTCCTTCTCTGGAAAAATGTAGAATCTTTTCTTTCTCACCAGTTTGCAAATTCAGAAATGATTGCTTTGGTGTGGGTCTATTTCCTTTTATTAAGGTGGGTACTTAAAGATCTGGTTGCCAGGAAGTCAACAAAGCCTCGTTTAGTTTAGTGACTTTTCCAGGTCTCCCAGTTCAACGGGTTCACACATTGAATTTTATTAGCACAGTAAGACTCAGTTTTTCTCTCAGCGATGGACTTGCCTCCAACCAAATTCCAGAGGACTGATGCGCAACTGGAATGTTTCTGGTTTGATTTTCATACTTCAGATTTTGTTACTCTCCAGATCCTTAACCACCGATGACTCTCACTGAGAACTGAATATATGCCATTTTCATTATCCCGCAGTCAAGGCTCTGTGTAATCTGACTCAACCTACCTCCTAAACTTAACTCCTGTGATCCTGTCAACTAAACCCTATGTTTAAAAGTCAAACTGAAATAGTCACCATTTTAGGCATAAGCCACAAATGTTCCTAACTTAGCACCATTGTTTATTCTGTTTCTATGTCCCAGAGTGTCCTTTTTATATTGGCCCTTGTCAAAATAATCTACTGAATACCTACCATTTGTTAGGCAAAGTGGATGAATAAAATAATGTCTTATGCCACAGGTAATGATCTGGAGACAAAGATATTACCCAGCTGTAATGCAGGGCTAAATGGCATAGATACCATAAGAGACATGTCAATAAATCTTGGATTTCAGAGAAAGGAGAGAGCATATATTCTTGGAGGGGTCAGGAAAGGCTTCATAAGACCTCCTTCATAGAAAAGGGGAAATTTGAAGTGCACCTTGAGGGATAATGGAATTGGATTATGTTGGAATTGAAGAACATTTCAGTATGAAGAAGAGCATGAATGGGGGCATGGAGATAGAAAATTATGGGTACTATCTGAGGTAGAGTAAGGCTATGACATAGTTTTGTATAAGAGAGATACCATTTGGGCGGCCAGGTGGCTCAGTTGGTGAGAGCGCATGCTCTGAACAACAAGGTTGCCGCTTTGACTCCTGCATGGGATGGTGGGCTGTGGCCGCCCCCCACAACTGGATTGAAAATGGTGACTGGACTTGGAGCTGAGCTGCACCCTCCACAACTAAGACTGAAGGACAACAACTTGACTTGGAACTGATAGGTCCTGGGAAAAACACACTGTTTCCCAATAAAGTTAAAAAAAAAAAAGAGAGATACCATTCAAGACCCTTGAATGTTGGCTTAAAATTTTGCATCAAATTAGGTAATGGTATCAAGGAGCCACCGAAAGTTGAATGGCCTTTTAAAAAACAACTTAAATAAATATAACACATATGAACCATCCTGATTCCCCCCCATTAGATGCAGCCTCTCTTCTGTAAATGTTCACAGAGCATTTTATATCTCTTTTATGTCATTTAATTGAACATCTACTCTATGCCAAGCACAATGCCAGTAACAAGGTAAATAAGGTAACTATGGCATTTGGTGTTGTCCTGTTTGATCTTCTTTTCCCTAGTGGAGTATAAAGTTCTTAACGATAGGGCAGCATCAATTCATCTTAGTACCTCCCCACTCCCTATATCTGCATAGTGCCTTGTTCACAGTAATAGTAGAACTAATAAAATATCAACACTTTAATACTAAAAGCTGTGTTTTATATTTTTTAGTTCTTAAATATCAATTGCATTTTAGGCCAATATTCATCATATACATTTTTTTTACATAGCTTTACAACCTTAAGAAGCTTATGCCTTTTCTCCGAAGCAGGAACTTCTGGTGTGGGGGCCGAAGCACAGTCTATTGGTGAGTTACCTGTACCAGGTAATCTTTCAGGAAATGGCATACAGTAGAAAGTACGCCATTTAGTCTGACACGCTACTTCCCTCTCTTTATGCAGCAATATTTCACCTAGCAGCAATGTTATGACTTGCTTAGACTTTTCCTGGATATGATAACCTGAAAAATGCATTGAATTTGCTTAGAAAAAAGTGTTCATTAAGGCTACAATGAATTTTTATTTAAAAGAAAATGAGGAAAAATGAATATGTGTAGGTACTCAGGAAATACTCCTAGACACTTAGAGACCTAAAGGACCTGAGAGAGAGTAAATGCCTCTTTGTAAAGGTGAGAAGACCAAAGCTCAGGAAGGTTAGGGATGGGCCAGGATTGTATAGGAGCTTGCAGCATAGTGGACCGAGAACCATGGTAGCCTGATACCTGCTCCAGTACTCTCTCACCTGTACCATATATTTATATTTTTAAAGATTTTTATTGGAGAATTGGAACAGCGCTGGGGAATTGGGGGAAGGGGAACAGACAAGT